GTGAGGCAGCCTCGAGCCCCCCCTGGGAGGTTTCGATACGGGCGCGTCCCCCATGCGGCCGTTCTCGCGCATGATCGAGGCGCAATACTCTATTGGGAGCAGACTCAAGATGACGCGCCGTGGGTGACTAATTTCGAGTCTGTGGAAAGTGCGATATTCGCCGGCTGGTGCGAGCGCGGGGGAGCGGCATAGGCATCATGTATGCGAGCCCCGCGCTCTAGGCTTGCTTTTCCGCGCCCTCGGTGTTGTCGTCGACGTACTCCCAGGCGTCGTCGTCGTCCTCCTCCTCCTGGTCGTCGGGCTCGCCTGTGACGCTCCGCCAGACGCGGCCCCACATGCCCTTCTTCTGCAGCAGGGCCAGGACCAAGACGACGGGCACGTACCAGATGCTGACCCAGAAAAGGCCCCTGGCGCTGCCGCCGGCGCCGCCCTGGCGCCAGAAACGGACCGACTCGCGGGCCATCCAGGCGTTTACGGGCAGCGAGGTGACGGCAAAGGACCACTCGGTGACGCCAGCGGCGCACAGGCCGACGCAGACGGGGAGGAAGCCGAGCAGGCCGTAGCGCAGGGCAACGCGGGCGTTACGGGCCGGGTTAGTCCAGGCGAGCATGCGCAGGCCCGCGGCGCGGTACTCGTCGCGCACGCCCCACGACAGCGCCATAAAGTGGGGGAACTGCCAGGCGAAGAGGAGGGCGGCGAAGAGCCAGCCGCCCACGCTCGAGCCGTCGGGCGCCAGCAGGAGCTCGCGCCACGAACCGTCGCCGACGGCCGACTCGCCCGCCGCGGCGGCCCAGCCCATGAGCGGCGGGATGCCGCCGACGACGGCGCCGACCCACGTGTTCGCGGCGGAGAGGCGCTTCATGGGCGTGTAGACGCCCGCGTAGAGGACGATGTTTGCCGCGCCCAGGAACGCCACCGTCGGGTTGACGCCCAGGTGCAGGGCGGCGACGCCGGCGAGGGCGCAGCCGGCGGCGAAGAGGAGCGCGGCGCGCGTCGACACGAGGCCGCGGACCAGGGGGCGCGCGCGCGTGCGGCTCATGAGGGCGTCGGTGCGCGGCTCGTAGAGCATGTTGAGGGCGTTTGCGGCGGCGGAACAGAGCGTCGTGCCAGTGGTCAGGAAGAGCAGCGTGAGCGGCGAGAGGGAGGGCAGGGTCGCCTCGGCGGCGCCTGGTGAGAGGAAGGCCGGGACCGGGTATATGGCGTAGGGGGCCATGGCCGAGAGGACGACGACGAAGGTTAGACGCGGTTTGGATAGCGAGAGCAGCGCCGAGAGCTTGCGCCGCATCGAGTCGGCCGGCTGCTTGGCCGCGGCCTCGGCGAGGATCGAGGACGCATCGGGAGGTAGTTGGGCACCGTCAGGTGAGGAGGGTGTTGGCTTGCCGGAGGCTAAGGCGGCGGAAAGAGCAGAGGCCTCGGCGTTCTGCTTGGCGGCCTGTCTCCGGCGATGTGGTAATGGTTCGGCGGTAGCGGTAGCAGCGGCGGTCGCGGGGGAGGACGCGTCCGAGGTAGCTTGTGATGAGGAGGTTGAGCCGAGCTTGGTTGAGGTTGCTGCTGGAGGCGACGTCACCGCAGCCGCGCCCATGTTCCGCGCCCTTGTCCGGAACTGGATGCCGCCAAACCTCTCCAGCAGCGTGTTTGACAGAAAGTATGCGCCCTTGACACGGGGCGATTGGGCGGGCGCGCTGCCCGTGCCGGCCGCAGCTCTCGGGCGTGCGGTGGTCGAGAGAGGGGCCAGAAATCTTTGCCCTGCGGCTGGCAGGCGGCGCCGGCAGCACCTCCAGCACACATTGTCGACGGCGCCGACGCCCGGCAGTAGGGATCTCGGGCCCGGCATGTCTCTGTGCGGTCTTTTCAGCTCATCAGGGCAGCATCAGAGGACAAGGTCGAGCGCATAGGGGTTGCGCTTTGGCGTCAATTGGGTGAGGTGCTTGCTCGTCGTCGCGGCCGACTCGTGAGTGCAGCAGAACTCGGCCTAGCTCCGACGAAGTTCTGACGATCCACAGGCGCGCCACTGGCTGGGGTTCGTGGCGCCAGATCAGGGGTGGACGGTGTTGACCGGCGAACGTAATTGCTGTCTGTTGTGACTGTTGCCCGAGGCAATCTGTCCTGTGCCGCACTGACCATCCATTTCCTGCCGTCACGTGCACATCCGGTTTGAAAGATGGCATAAGTAAAGCTGCTGTGGGGGCGCCCACTAGGCGCACATCCATGTCCGCTTACGTAAACCCAAAATCAGCAAAATGCATCTAACGCGGTGCTGCACCGCACCACCAACGTGGGCCTCTGAGGACCAAGTCCGCGACAACACCAAAGGCTCTAAACATTAATCTATTTGTACAATATCCGAGTAACGCTTTGGGCATGCCCGAGAGGTTCTTGTATGGCCGATTCCACCGCATGCTGTATATTGACTTGGCCGTTTAGCCCGCGTCGCCTGCTTCGTTGCGACGACCTCAAATGCACTAGGCTCACGCTTTGTACTTGATGCTGGAAGTATGCGTGTGCTTTGTGTGTGTGGCTCGATATGCTGGGGCTCTAGAAGGTGAAATGGAGCCCTGTTATGTATCAGGTGCTAGTGTGAATGAAAGTCTTTAAGAAGAAGAGGCGTACCTTGGCGTGAAGTTAGTACGTGTATATATGGGAGCCTATGGACGTGTGTAAAGGTACCCGTACAAGTAGGCGGCGGAGGGGGGTCCTTCCACTGTAATTGCTGCTGCTTTTCGACCTTCCGTAGCGCTTTGTGGGAGACCCAGCCTTGTACGGCCCTATATATTGCTTTATCGAGCTTAAGGGGTGTATGGATCTGCTGCTTTGCTTGGTTAGACTGTAATTTGGAGAGCTGGTTGTTTAACGTAAGCCGAATTGCCTTCTATGCTTTAAAGAGGTCGAACGTCGACCTCTGGAGGTACGACTTTAAGAGTGTGTGAATCCCTTTAATGCGGGAGGTAGCTATATTCCCAAAATGAGCCTCTAGGTTGATCCATGCGGCAACAAGCTTCTCTTTGAACGGCAAGAGCCACGTTTCTTTAATATAGCCGACCTGCTTGAGGTTTGTCGAGGCGTACTTTTTCTTAAACTCCTTAAGACGCTCTTTGTATGTCTCTTTAGTCGCTGAATTTAGAAGCGAGAACCAAAAACTGTAGAACTCTTTCTATTCTTTAGCTGTCTCGAAGGTTGGCTGGTATCGTGCAAGGACAGCCTTATTTGTATGCTAGATATAGAGAGACATCGCCGACAGGAAGAGAGCTGAAGCCATGTTTATAACTGCTAAATACTGGTCTGTCAAAATGATAGACGGGAAGACTCTGCCGTATTGCTTATATAACGTCTTCAACTGCTTAAGGGCCTATATGTAGTCTTTTTTAGTCTTATCGCTTAAAAACGCAAAAGCAATACAAAAGGACCGTTTAGTTGTATCGACGCTAATTATATTAAGGAGTAGTATGTTGTATTTATTCGTCTTATATGTACAATCGAGGAGGAGGACTTTAGGGTATGCTTGAAGGTAGATGAGGGAGTCGGGATGTGCGAAAAGTACTACTGTCACATGTCTATCTGGCTTGTACTGTACATGGCCCAAAATCCTTCTTGCTTAAGCTGATTTGTAAGCGTGTGAATTGAGCTCTTGCCTTGACGAGAGTCTTGGCAGACCTTAGCAATACGGTTGTAGATATCTTGACGCGTTGCTAAAGAGCCGTTTTGCCGTATAATTGTCTGAATCTCCTTCGGCGCGAGGCCAGCGTTTGAAAGGCTCTCTAGCTGTGGCATACGGGAGAGTTGTCGGTGGATAGGGTGTGCAGATGGGTGAAGGCTGGGTTTGTGGTTGTGGATTGTGTATTGTTGGCCAAGACGGTGCTTTAGAGTCTAGCCTGTATTAGACTTCCTAGCGACGACTGAGAAGGGGCAATTCGTTATCTGTGTGGTCGTTTTTTGTTGGCGATCTCTTTGTGGCGACGAAGGTGGCCGGCGGCTTCAATCGCATGTAAAATAGACCTTCTGAAGGCTATCTTGACGTCGAAAAGACCTCTGGGTGGTAAAAGCGTAGCCTCGAGGCTTTGCGTACGCATTAATTGACTTAATTAAGGCCTTGCGCGACTTAAAAAGCCCCTCGGGAGGAAGGCAGTCGTCTGGGAAGGTCGCTATTGCGCTGGTGATGAAGAGCGTGTTTGTTGGTGCGGTGCAGCACCGCGTTAGATGTATTTTGCTGATTTTGGGTTTATGTAAGCGCACATGGATGTGTGCCTAGTGGGCGCCTGCTGTGGGCTGCAGCAGCCGTCTCCATTCCTCCAGTCGCGTCTTTGCGTCTAGGCTGGCATGACAAGAGGCTTGTTTAATAGCTGCGCTTGTTATAGGGTAGACTACGGGTTGGAGCCAGGTAGGTGCTGATAGGTTGTTATTGTGAAAGCTGAAGAAAAAGGAGGAAGTCTATACGGAGGTTGGTCGGGGCCGGAAGGCCCCTTAAGTACCACGTGATCAGGGGTCACTCCTGAAAGCCGGATCCGTGCCCCCAGCATGGATCTATCACATAGCCCCCGACCCGGGTCCTGTCCGGGGTCATATGACTCCGCTCCGGCGTGTAAACCTACCGCAAAGGGCGCTCAGAGCGACGGTGCCTCTGGGGATAGCTTCAGGCGGCTCGCCTCCTGTTGCTCGGGCGGCGGCGGTCGGTCCAGTGCCAGCCTCCGAACCTGGGGAACCGTCACGGAGGTCCTGTCGTCGCGGTGCGGGCTCAGGTCGCGTTCACCCTGCGCCTCAGGTCGCCCTCATGTCGCCCTCACTTCCTCCTGGTCGGCGTTGTCTGGGCACTGTTGCTATGCCTGCTCGACCCCAGCCTTCCCGAAGCGGAGTTTCCTTCTCCTTTCGTCCCACTTCCTCGATGCCTCCGCCCCGTTCCCGCTCCTCTTCCTCCCCAACTTCGCACCGACTCCTGCCCTCTCTCATCTTCCTGCCTCTCCTCGGCCGCACCCGCCCACGCTCAGCCGTCTCGCCGCCGCGCAGCCATGAACTACTTCCGCAACACCGCCGCCGGCAGTGCCAACAACAGCGTCGCCGCCGCCGGTGCACCCCCTCCCTCTCCTCCCGGAGGTGATGGCGACAAACGCCAGCCCCCCTCCTCGGTAAATGTTCAACTGCTCAGCGCGTCCATGGCGGAATCGCGTCGCATGCTGACTGTTCGCGCAGCGTGCCATGGGCACTTACGTCGTTGTGGGTGACAGCGACGACGAGGCTGCCGCAGCGCCCCAGCAGGTGGCGCACACCTGCGACCGTTGTGGCGACGCTTGTGGCCGCACCGGCAAACTGGCGTGCCAGCCTCGTGTCCGGGGAAAAGGCTGTGCTCCCTGCGCCAAGGCCAAGCGCACCTGCAACATGATGGAGAAGGAGTACGCCCAGTCGCCGCGCCTGCGCCGCGCCGACGAAACGATGCGGGCCCTGGTCGAGTCCGGTGAGCATGTGCCCGTGCCTGCGAAAAGCGGCCGGGGCGGCAACATGGCCACCATCACCCACACCCTGTCTGTCGCCATCCAGGACTGGCAGCGGGCTCGCACCGAGGCCCAGGCCCAGGTGCAGCAGGCCGAGCTTCTGCAGGCCATGAACATGGGCGACCCCGGCGCGAGCAACGATGTAGCCCTCACCCTGCCCCCTTCGACTCCTGGCTCCGGTCGTCGCGGCGCCAATGCGGCCGAGCATCAGGTCCAGGCCATGGGCCAGATGCTGCAGTTCGGCTTCAACCGGATGAATGTGAGTCGACTGTCAGGAACCGCGACGGTGGTTGATCTCGTGCTGACTCGTGCGTGTAGGGGCTCCATCAGGTCCGCCACCAAGAGACCCTGGCCGCAATGCGCGAGAGCTGCAACGCCGTGCAGGCGCTTGCCAACTCGGTGGCCGCGCGCCCCCAGCTGCCCGCTACTGAGGAGCGGCGCCTCCTCGACGTTCCCGGTTCTGGCAACCGCGGTCGCCACAGCGGCCGGAGCGAGCGCTATGATGACCACCGCGGTAGTCGCAGCGGGCGCGACAGCGGCCATCGCAGCCGCTACCACAGCAGCCGCAGCGAGCGCTACCATGAGCGTGACGAACGTTCCCTGTCCCCCTCTGAGGAGGCCCGTCGCCGCCGCCGCGAGCTTGAACGTCGTCGTGACGCGAGGCGTCTCGGGGGCGGCAGCTCCACGCCGCCATCGGTCGAGGAACTGACCGACTCCCCGCGCTAGTGAGCGCGATGTTCTCCTTCCTCCCCTTTGGGATTGTGTTCCTGTGGCGTTTTGGCGCAACGATTCCGGGCCGGCGTGCCCTCACAAGTGAGTTTTCCCAGGTCGGCGTGCCTGTGGCCGTCCGCCGCCTTTGTGTGGCAGGCGGGAGGTGGTCGGGTTGGCGTGCTCTCCAGATAGTCGTGGCTTGGCGCCTTTTGCGCGTCGCCAACAATGACAAGACTGTTCCCCCCCCGTACCTTTTGTCCCTGCTTCCGACGTGATGCTGGGCTGTTGTTGGTGCGAACGTCACCCCAGCGTGCTTCGAACCGGTCCAGTGCCTCTGTGTCTGTGAATAGGGATAGAGGCTGCCAGTCCGGCGTGTCATATCCTACCCACTTGACCAGCACCTGACGACCGCCTCCCCGCCCCCTGGCATTCTTAGCGGCCAAAATTTCCTCCACTGCGTATTCTTCTTGGTCCCCTTCATCTTCCGCAGCGGGGATAAGTATCGGGCCTGGGCGGGTGTCTGTGGTGATTTGTGATGGCAGTGGGTCTGCCGCTGCGCGTTCCACCAGCTCCACATGGAAGGTTTTGTGCAAAATCTTGAAGGTGCCGTCCCTCCCCGCATGTCCGACGAGGCACTATAAAGTGGCATTTCAAGTATAGCTAATATAAATTTAATAATACTTAAATCTTAACTTTAGGCTTTTAACTTATAATATAAAGTGAAAAGACTTAAGATATAAATAGTCTCTATTTAAACTCCTACTGCTTTCTTTAGTTTGTCTACCCTATTTTACCTTAAAATATTATATATTTAAAAAAAAAAATAGTTTTAAAACCTAGGCTAATATAATAATCTTAGATTAGGTACTTATTTTTTAAGGTAATAAAGCTTTTAAGTTTAAAATAATAGTAAAAGATAAATTTTAAGTTATATATAGTATTAAAATTAAAATATATAATAGGGTTAATATGTTAAATCGCTTTTAAAATAAATAAATTTAAATTTTTAAAATTACTTTTTATTTTATTTTTTTATTTTATTTTTAAAAACACTTTAAATAAATCTACTACCGTAATATTCTACTTATTATCTAACTTTTATAAACTTTTATATATTCGAATACAAAGCCCAAGTAAAATAGCGTGAGGCTGAGCTACTAAAACTACTAAAGTACGTATTTGCTAAGGAAAGTATAAGCTTTTAACACAGCTTTCCAGCCGTCGGACTCCGGGTCGCTGCTCCGGTCGCAAATATGGGCAGCGCCATCGACGAGCGCGAGGCCGGCCGGCACGCCGCGGGCTACGAGCACGTCGTACGTATCCTGGCTTTGGCGCCACGGGATTAGGTCGTCGCCGGTGCCGTGGACCAGGAACGTGGGCACGGGCGCGTACGTGCCGGCCTCGACGTGGGCGCGCGGACTAACGGCGCGGACGCGGTCGAGGTCGGGTTGCGGCGCCGCGTTCCAGTCGGTGACGCGGCCGGCCCCGGCGGCCTCGTCGTCGCGGTCGGCGGCGGCACGGGTCGGGAGGCCGTCGACGATGACGGGCAGGGTCTGGGCCTTCCAGTTCATGTGCAAGATCATGCGGCAGCGCGCGTCCTCGAGGATGCGCGGGTCCGGCAGGGCCGCGTGGGCGCCGATGACGCCGTAGCTGGTCAGGGGCGCATCGTGGACGCCCTCGAGCACGTCGAAGGCGAGGCCCGAGCTCGCGGCGCCGGGTATGTCGATGGGCGTCGTCCACCACTTGTCCGTGTAGTCGGTCGGGCAGTAGAAGCCCAGGATGGCGGTGGGGGGCGGCAGGCCGCGCGCGGGCGCCGTCCAGGCCAGCGACAGGGCCAGCATGCCGCCCGAGGACCAGCCGATGGCAGCGACGCGGGCGCCGTCGACGACGACGCCGGCGGGGCGGGCGGGCGAGTCGAGGCCCGGGAGGATGTCGCGCGCCCACGCCAGCGCCGAGCACACGTCGGCCATGGGCCCGTCGGCCAGTGTCAGCTCCGGGCAGAGGCGGTAGTCGACACTGACGGGGAGGAAGCCGCGCGCGAGCAGGAGGCGCGTCTGCGCGGGGCGGACGTCCTTGCGCGAGTAGATGATGTGGCTGCCGCCGTGGACCATGAGGGCGACGGGCCGGGGCTTGGGGTCCGGCGGGCCGTCGGCGACGGGCCAGTACACGTCGGCGTGGATTTCCAGGTCGCCCACCTTCTTGTACACAACCGTCTCCATGACCGCCTTGGCGCCGTAGCCCTCGGGCTTCCTGGCGGCGCCTCCGCCGGGTGTGGTCGTCTTGGGGGCCGTCGGGAACGCTCCGATCAGCCGCACCGTCTTGGACTCGGGCGACTCGCCGTCGCTCCACTCGACGGCCGCGAAGCCGGCGGCCTTCATGACGCGCTTCCAGTGTCGCTCGTCGACGATGGCGTGCGAGCGCCCGTCCTCGAAGCGCCACCAGCCCTCGAGCGGGCCGAACACGACGTCGAGCCAGGACATGTTGCGGGTGATCTCGAGAAGGGTCAGGGCGCCGTCGTCGCTCAGCATGGCCCGCAGGTGCCGCAGCGACGTGCCCAAGTCGCGCGTCGCGTGTATCGCGTTCGAGGCCAGCACGATGTGGTACGCCGCCACGTCCTCGGGCTTGGGCGGCTGCTCAATGTCCAGGACCTTGAAGCACATCTTGCCGTCGCCGGCGAGGTCCGCGAACTCGGCCCGCTTGGCCGCGGTGCCGACGAGGGAGGCCGAGATGTCGGTGAAGACGTACTCGAAGGGGACGCCCAGGCTGCGCAGCCGCTCGACCACGACCTTTGTCGTGCCGCCCGTGCCGGCACCGACCTCGAGGATGCGGAACTTGCCGCCGCTTCCGTCGCCAGTGGAAGCGGAGGATTTTGCTGTCAGCGCCCGCTCCACGAAGTCTCCCAGCACCCATCCTGGCGCGCGGAAGAGCGGCCACCTGTCGTACGCGTCCTCGAGCACCGCCTTGGTGGCCGGGTCGCCAAACAGGATCTGCAGGGCGTCCTTCTCGCCCGTCAGGCAGGCAGCGAGCTCGGACCCGACGGCGCGCACGAGCTTGTTGACGGTTGCATGCGGCGGGTGGAGGTCGATGATGTCGTGAAAGACGGCCTCCGCCGGGGCCAGGTCCAGCGCCGCAGCCGTCCGCGTGAACGAGGGGGTCAGGGAGGACGAGGATCCCTGTATGAGCCCGCCGTCCTCGAGAATGCGGAAGAACTGCCGCACGAGCCGCGCGTGGCGGTCCAGCGTGCCCTGCACCCGCGGCACCGTCTCGCCGGCCTGCAGGGCAGCGAGGTCGCAGCCGAGCCGTGCGAAGGCTTCGACGACGTAGGCGAGCACCAGCCGCTTCTGCTGCGGGTACGCGTCGGTCCAGAAGCCGAGCGCCTGGGCGTCCCTGGCCAGGTCATCGTAGTTGAGCCGGGTCTCGCGAAAGGCATCGAGCGCGTTGCTGAGGGCGGGCATGGGAGGGCGGGCGATTTCGACGGCCGTCGGCTTCTCGGCTGGCGGAGACGTTGTTCCCGAGGAGCCAACGTCGGCGATGCCAGAGTCAGCCAGCGAAGCAGCTACTGTCGACGGGTTGCTGCCGTCGTCGATGTCCTCGCTAACATCGCCATTCCCGGTGTCGCCAGCAGCACCGCCGAGGCCCAGCTGCTCGTCCACATACTGGGCCAGGGCGTCGACGTCGGCAAAGAAGAGGAAGGTGGACAGGTCAATGGTCAGGCCCAGCCCCGTGCGGATGTCGTTGAGCACCTCGGTGGCCATGAGCGAGTCAACGCCGAGATCGTCCAGCGTCGCCTCGCCCATGATCTCGCCGATCGGTCTGTCGGTGACACTGGCCAGGATGCGTAACAGCTCTTGACGCTTGCTGGGCCCGGCCGACTTTGCCTTTTTGGACGCAGAAGCGGCCGTGACGCTGGGATCGGTCACATGCGCTCCCTGTACGAGGGCGTCGGACGCAGACACTGACGACGTCGCCCTCGCATCTGTCTTGTTTACGCCCTGCAGCAGGCGCGCCAACAGAGCCCGCGGCATGCGCGAGAACCGGAAGCCAGAGAAGGCCATGACCATCCTGTCCGTCCGCGCGTCAAACACATACAGGTCCGCCGAGGCCTCCTTGACGACTTCGTGGCCTCCGACGTCCTCGCCGCCGCTGGTCAGGGTGGCCAGGACGCGCCACTCGCCGGCGGCCGGGTCGAAGCCGCCGCCCACCTCGATGCGCTCGATGTTGTTGCACACCAGGATGTGCTCCGCGCTGGCGTTGTTGAAGTAGTTGGCCAGGAGGCCGGCGGTCTGCATTAGCACGTCGGCCGTGTGCGCGTCGCACAGGCGCTGGTCGGCCGGCGCCGAGGTGTCGGGCGTCGCGCGCACCGTGGCCGCGGCCTCTCTGCCCACGCAGGATACGTGGTCGAGACGCTGGAACGACGGCCCGTAGTCGCACACGGCGGAGAAGGCCTGGTATATTGTCCGTCGGCCGCGCATGGACTCTCCGTCCGGACTCGCGAGCAGCTCGGCGACGCGGCGGCCGTGGCCCGCCAACGCCTCGAGGCGTGCGAAGGCCCGCGCGGCACGGTCGTCGGAGCGTCTACGGAGAAGCACCGTACCGGTGGACTTTTCAGCAGCCGGGTTGGCAACGGATGCAGACGAGGACAAAACCTGCCGTGTGGCGAAGGAGAAGGACCACGCGGGCCCCCCGTCTCCGTTATCCTCGGTCCTCCGCTTCAGCTTCAGCGTGATTTCTGTGCCCGTGTCCCGTCCGATCGGCGACATCATGGTCAGGTCGTCGACGACCGGCACGTACATGGTCGCCGCGACGTCATCCGCGAGGAAGAGTGCCGCGCGCGCAACCAGTTCAAAATACAGCGACGCCGGCGCGAGTGCCTGTCCACTCATGACGTGGCCGCCCACAACGGCCTGGAAGCGGTCGGATTGCGGATGGACGCGGAATACAGCTTCGTCGTCTGCACGATGGCGGATGGTGAGGAGCTCTTGCGTCTCATGAGCTCCCTCTCCTCCTTGTAGATG